GATAATAATAATAATATTATGTTGAACATTCATAATGGAGTTGCGATGTTGAAAATTATTTACAGTAGTAACAATAATAACCACTCATCATTATAATATATTAATGTTAATAGATACGTCAAAAGGGATGTATACGCAGTTACTATTCTAATATTTAACGGTTATTTGAGAGGGATATTTTCACCATTGAAACATAGTATAAAATAAATATTTTATAATAACATGACAAAATATCGGATGATGAAAATTAACTTAACATAGTTCAGAATTTTTTTAATGTTACACCGTAAATTAATTGAAATGTGTAATATTATATAATTAGTTTACATGACATCGCTATATTATATTATCAGCTATTTTTTTTTTTTTTTTTTTTTTTTTTTTTTTTTATAATCTAATTGAAAATTAAACGGAAAATGAAAACTACTCTATGCGGATCTAATAATATTATATTATTATATTAATTTATATTTTAATAACGATTATCACCATTTTAACTGTATTTCGAACACCGTATATGTTAAATTAATAACACCATTGAGTACTATATATACTCAATGATAATACTCATGTTGTTATATGATACGTGCTTTAGATAACTGTTGGCGTAGATAATCTTAATACTCGAACATTATAAACCTTTGATGATAAAACTTAAATATCATGATAATATTATGTTAGTATTCACCCGCAGGTCGTATAAACTTTGATAGTGAGCTACAAGCCACGTCTACACACTTATAAAGTAGTGTGTGTGTGTATGAAACAAAAAAGCATGCAAGGAAGTAAGAATCGACGTTAAATGTTAATTTCGAAAGTTTGTTATGATAAAATGTACAAGACAGGTTGTATAACCTATTATAATTTTCATGTTTTTCTCGACGTTTCAAAGATAATCAATGACTGATACATTTATGACACAAGTCATTTCTTTAGACTATAGGTGTATACAACTACTGTTGATCAAATACATACTCATCAACCAAAGATAACAGTAACGTATAAATTGCCGACATTTAGTACAGTTTAAAAATTTAACGACAATGATGGGAACAAATAAAGTCATAACTAATTGAATTAGTTATTTAACTATGTCATTGAAAAAACTTATAGTATTGTAAATGGTACCTATTTTAATATTGTATTGATTGTAACATAAATCAATCAAAAAATATTCCGAGAATTATAGCTGCTCCGATAACAACCCACCGACACGCAATTATAACAAATGCATATCATAATGGGATAGGCGGGCACCGGAAATATATATTTTAAATACGTGTAAAACCGTAATTGAAGAACGCAAAAATAGTTTTTTTTTAGACTGTAGATTTAATTTCATTGGAAAATTTCATAAAAAATTAATTAAATTGCGTCTCAAGTTAACGATTCATAATTACGTGCGTCACGCAGTTCCTACATTTAATATTATATTAATGTACGGTGTTAAATTAACAGTAAAATCCCAGAAAAAAAAACTAACTAACTGCAGTTATAATTCAAAATAAGATTTTATTAATAAGATTAGCATAGCAGTAAAATACTAATAATATTATAGGCATAATAATCTACAATATATGTATAAATAAAAAAAGAATCATTTTCACTCAATTTTTCTTAAGTTAATTCCAACACAGATAGAAAATTATTATTTTTTATACGTTATTTTGTGACTTATTTCTATAAATATATTAGACAACTAAAGATAAATCATATTGAATTTTGTGAGTATAATGGAATACGCTAATTATTTAGAACTTCGAATAGAAGAAAAGAGTAATTTATAGAATTTCATCTACCAAAAATATTTATTTTATTTGAAATACTTCTTTGGTGTACACGTCTATATATTATACGTAAACATGTTTTTCTGAAAGTAAAATCATCACTGTAGAGTTAGTTTTAAAACTTTATACTATAAAGTATTTAATAGCATCAAGTGTTATATTCGTAGAATAATATAGAAGTACAATAATGTACACTACTTCAGTTAAACTAAAAAAGCTTCTATTTATAGATTTTAGTTGATATGAAAAAAATTAATATTGATTTTGATAAAATTTGTTTGACATATTTATCTTATTCCGGTTTTAAATTATTTCTCCGTAGCATTAATAATCACAAAACATCATGTAGATTTTCACTGGGAAATAAAGTAAATAAACTTATCAAAGAGTAAAGAAATTAAAACACTTGTCTATAAAACCACGTATTGCAGCGTGAGTATTTGATCTAAAATGTTTTACAGCAATTATAAAATAAACATAATGAACCAAACATTTATATTTATATATTTTTAATGAAGCTGAATTTGTTTTACAATAAAATTGTATTAATATAGTTTCTTTAAACGTATGAGAAACAAGCATTGGATTCCAATAAGTTTTTATTTTATATGATATAAATTCATATGTACTAGGAATACATATTTTAGCTGAGTACATTGTTAAGCAATAGTCATCGAATTTTTTCAACTAAAATACATTAAGTTACCGTGATCTTCGTTTATTAGGTTAACTAGATTTTTATTTTACGTGGTATCATATAATGATGCATAAATTTTGGTATTGAATTATTATTTAGAGGAATTTTTAGTGTAAGTTGATCATGTTGTGAGATTATTTCTGAGAAATCAGTGGTTAAAATATTATAAAGGTCCCTCGATGAATTTTCACTTTGAGTTTATGCCTTTATTGAAATGAAAATTTCTGATTGTAAAAAATCGATCTTTAAGGAAATACTTAAAATAATATATACGTATATATATATATAAACGAAATCATACGTCCATCGTGTCAAAATTGGTCAAAATAAGCTGTTTAGATACTGATCCATAACTCGTATATAGTGAATAGTGATAGCAGAAATTTTCTCTCTTGCACCATAATAGTTTTGCTTGCTTATGACTCTGTTTGGTTAAATATTCTATATTTATATTTGGTGAACTGACAAACAATTTAAGCGGAACATAAATTGATTCTTGGTATTAATTTTCTTGTTTTAAATAGCTGAGTAAATTTTCTTATGAGGTAATATTTTTAGAAATAAGCTTTAAAATTAAAACACAAAAATATGTAAAAAAGAAAAAGAGTACAAAGTGAAGATAGTTTTACCACTGGGTTACTTTTTCTATCATCAACTACTCATGTAAAAAATAAATTCTTTTATCACATATTTTTATTATTTCTTAGGAAAAAGTTTGTATATACCTTTAAATAAATAAATACAAAAACATTTTTTGTACTTCACGAGCGTTATTGACTAAAAACGTTTACCACAAAAGCATAATGGAGTAAAATAAGGTTGCGTGTGTGATGTTTTGTTAAATAAATGGTTCGTGATTAAATTTGTGGTCACAAAATATTACAAATCTATATAATATTTATTGACAAAAACAATGTACAAATATACGTGAGAATTTTTTGTATTTTCACAATAAATTCATAAATAAAGTTTGACTGTACACTTTCCAACAATAAATTAAGCAATATTAATTAAGTTATTTAATGTGTAATAAGTATATAATATATAATATATATATATATATATATATAAACATATAAATATTTATATTTTAACTTATCCTTTTATTGAACGAACATTTTTCATAATTATTTTACATAAAATCGAATAAACATTAATATAGTTAAAAGTTATTGTTTTTATATACCATTAAATTACGTTATTAAATTTATTCATTGGTATTATAAACTTTATATACGATAATAGTAAAATATATGATACTGTTGATATTGTTACCTACATAATAAATTTTAACTCAAACTACTGTTAAGTACCTACTATTTAGTGTTTACTCATACATATACAAAAATTAGATTAAACTTTATTATGTCAAGTATTCAAATGCAACTACATTGTTTTCTGTTCCTGATGGCTTATTATTTTATACATATTTATTACTAATTATCTTATGGATAATTCGTTTTAAAGTTTCTCAACTCATTGTTTAGCCATTTAAAGTAATAACAAAAATTATATTAATTTTGTAAATATTTATAACTTTGCATATAATAATTATTTATTAAATTTGTTGATTGTTTAAAATGTAGAGTTTTTTTTTATTTTTGTTTCTAGATATTCCATCTGATAACTAATACATTAAAAAAGTTTTATTTATCAATGATAAATATTTTATTTCATTATTATTTTTCTTACTCAAATCGGTATGCCAATTTAAAAATGTTTTAAATAATACATTACAAAATCAATCAGATTTCAAAATTGTTATTCAGAATATTTATAAATACCTTTTTCAATACTTGATCTACGAATTTGAGATTGTATTAAATGTATATGACATTCATAACAAGTCGTATTGATAAAGAAATTAAATTATAGTTGGCATATTCATTAGTATACTTAATAATAATTTATGGTTGCGCATATTTTAATCATTTTCTGTGCTCAAATATGTGCATATTTATACACATTTTTGCATTAAAATACATGTATTAATAATAAAACATTAGTTTAGATCTAATAATTAACCTTATAATTTATTCAAGGATATAGATTTACTAGTAAAAATAGTGTAGGTAGGTAATATTAATGTGTACAATAATATTATCAATAATGATAAAAATAAATTTATTTTATCTAATCATTTATTATATCAATACAATATTATATTATAAGTAAGTATTTATTTTTTATATTCGGTTGACCAGAAATAATAATTTTTATTTACGAGTTTTGGTTACTCATATCATGCGTTTTAATAACACATAAAATCATAAAACAAAGGCAGCCATGTGTGACGTGTTATGATCAAATTTATAAGATATATCATAATATAATAAACATAAAAATGGTTTTAAAACAGGTCTGATAGAAATAACAAACGCATTTACGATATATATATATAATTATGTTAAACATTTGGGAGTATAAACATTTACAATATTCACAATGGTTTAAGAAATAATTTGTAAACGCAAAACATTAACTGTGTTTAAAAATATTTCAACATCATTACTCACCGAGCATTCGGATTCACCGATGTAGCAGAAGTCAACGTTGTGGGACGTTACGGACCACAGGTGATCATCGTTAGCCGCTTCTTCTGTCCAATCGGGTACAATCTTTAAGAGTTTATCATTGCCATCGGTTCCAGTGGCTCTGTAACATTGCAAAATAATACGATTAAAATCGGTGGCATAGACCATACTATTATACGAAAACGATTAAATGAGGACGTTTATTATGTAACCCATTTTTATTTTTTACACAAAATAATAAATACCAAACAATAATTAAATCACAGAGTGGGTAACTGAGAATTTTTTATTTTTATTTTTCTACATATTTATGTGATGTAAATTTCACGTAATAACAGCTGCATGTTTACCTGGGCACCTACGCGAGATTTTGATGAGTTTAATGGGTACGGAGAATCAGTAGGTACAAGTAGTTTTAAAGCAACCTATTGATTCTGCCAGCTACCAATGTTTATCCGCGGTCATCGCGGTTACTTATTAAATTAATTAATTAAATTTAAATACGTTTATATTTGACCTATTTATATAATGTTAAATATCCCTTGATATGGCTTAGATATTATGTACATAATACATTATAGCTAATCTTGTGCACAAAAATACAATATTACACAATTAATTCAAAATTTTATTTTTTAAAAACATACAAATAATATTATATTTTATAATGCAAATAATTTAAGATTTATAATTGAAAGATTTTCTATTAAATCAAGCTGTTTGAGTTGATGACAATATGTTAGCTTCATCTATGAATAAGTATAACATTTTGTATACAATATTATCTATAGCGTCTATATGAATTTAAAAACTATTGATAACATTTATAATTTTTGTTTAAAAACTTATACATTTAATTCCTAGGCTATTGGGTTGGAATTATTTTGAAATAATAAAAATTTATTTAATATTAATATACCTAAATTTAAAATTTAAAACTGACTGGATGGATTAACCACTACATTTCAAAGGAGAATCAATATTGGCGACATTAAAATAAATGATATTTAATTAAAATTAATATTTAGTTCTTAGACTATTTGCTTTTAAATGTAAATTTGAATTATACTTCCATTAATTTAATTAATTGGTATTATACTAATAATATTTACTCATACCTATTGGTTTTTTTAATCTATATAATATTTAACAAATTATTAAGACTATAACTCGAATACTCCACAAAAAAGTATATCTTTCAAAATGTTTACTGTTATTATGTAGCAAATTGTAAAATGTATATCGATTTTTAGATTGCATGTTAAGGCATCGATAAATAATTTACGGTTTTATTAGGTCATACAATGTCAAATTGTATTTTAACATTGCTAACCGATTCTATCTCTGATAAAACGGTGATATTTTAATGTGTGAATAATTTGTTAAAGCTTGGTCGTTTCTCTAAACAATTGTATAACTTCGGAGGTAAAATAATGTATTATAACTACATCACCAATACTACTGGTGTTTTGTGGTATTGTACTTAAATATTTAGGTACACATGGTGTCCACGAGATTAATTAGACACGTATTAAGCATGGAGAAATTCGTTGTCGTCCACCACATTTTTCATTAAAACGTACCTACTTTATAATACAATACAATGCAATATATAACAGCCGCTCGTTGATAGTATTATGTAGACACAGCATTGTAGGTGAATTAGCTACGTAAGTTTAACTTATTATTTACATTTTGTTCATAGAATAAGCTTTCTTTTGTTGCAAAAGATAAATGTAATTTGTTTATATGATAAAGCAATATCAGTGAGACTTTTTATCGTAATGTTATACAAAAATATTAAAATAAAATATTATGTATAGTATTTTTAGTATTAAATAAATTGGCCGTTTATTGTTCAATCAATATTATTATGGTCATGATGTCTCGTGGCAATTAAATTAAAAAATGAAATCGAAAACATTTATTTTAATAAACAACACTTTTTAGGTCCTATGTGTGTACGAGATAATACATTTACAATCGTGATAATTATTGCAATATACAGTTATTAATTTTTAAAACATCGGAAGTTCATTTCATGGATGTAAAATGTTGTAATTATTCTTAACGAGAAAGTTATTTTGAACTCGAAATTGAATGACGTCATAGAACTTAAATTGGCTCTCAGAACAAAATAAGGAGTTTTTGTATTTACAAACCTACAATGCCAAATTTTATAAAGTTTTCATACTTTGAATTTAAATCGACAAATATTGTTCTATAAACACATTTTAAATTTATAATACAATATTTAGAATTATTGAAACGGAAATCTTCATTAAAAAAAAATAGTTTCTGATTTTCAAAGAGTCAAGTTGGTTGAATAATTTTTGATTGAAAAAAAGAATCAACAGAGAATAAAACAATGAACTTAAATGCGATTTCGAATAAAATTCTTAGATGGTTCATTAAATTGTTTGGATGATTACAATTTTAGGAAAACAAAAAATGCATACGGTTACTAAGGACACTAAAGGCTACATTTATCAGAAATTCTGAAGTTATTATATGACGGCATACGAGTTATAAGAGTTTTAATTAGTTAAATTTACGCAATATTAACATTTTGGAATATTCTTATTTTAGGTATAGATATTATCAGAGGTTACACCTATGAGAAACAACATATCGAACGTGTTTGAGAAGACTTCGAAAAATTATAGTCTATAGTTTTTAGGGATTAAAAAAAATAAATTGAAATTGGAAGCATATTTGATATTGTTAAAAGTTGTTCGTTATGTAATATTACCAAATAAACAGTCTACAATCATGATGATATACACTACGTAATTTACGTAATCTAGATAGTTATGTCATCGCAGTTAATGAGAAATTATTTGTTTACTAGTTTAAACTACCACTTACCGTGGTTAGGTTAGATTTTACCACCTGGTTAGATTCACGTTTCGATCATGATTATATCATGAACAAAGCAGGCCCTATTTTTATGTGCAATACGACACACAAAGTGCACCACGAATGTACAAGTGTGAACTATGATTTGAACGTGTATGCACTGCGGTCTATAAAACTAAAATTGAATAATATGCCAGCTACTATAAAATATAAGTATTTCCTGCATTTTTAAAATTTAAATTATACTAAATTATAATTTCTTTTTATTAGTTTTCAAACATTGTTTTCAGTCAAAAGTATTTTATTGTTGTATTAAATCATTATATACATATATATATATATATAAGTAATACATTTTTTTTTCGAAGACAGTAGCGAGAATAAAATTTCCGTTTAAAGCAGTAAAATTAAGTTTGCAGTTCAAAATTTTACAAATATTAGGGCCTGAAACAAATACTATTTATAATATTTACATACACTATTATACTAAAATAATAATAACGTTTCAAATATGCTAACTACTATAACCTAAATGAAAAACTGAAAGACGTTCACTTAAATGATATATTGCATAGTATCCTGAGTGTAATATTTTTGTTATTTAACTGGTATATAATATTATGAACAAATAATTTAAAATAGCTTATTGTGTCAAAATAATAAAAAAATTTTATATTTTGTGTTATAATATTTATATATTGTTTAAACATAATCCGTTAGCAAAAAAAATATATTCACCTGAGTAATTTTAAATGAAAATTATTACCTCTGTTTTCGTGGTATATTGAAACTAGTGTGAACTGAAAAAAATATATGAGACACGCAAAACTTAATGGTTTAATATGCCTCCGAATTTAGTTATACTTAATGTAGTGAAATTATTCTAGTTTTAAATATATTATACTTATTTAAACTAACAGAGTATACTATTTTATAATAATTATGTATTTATGGTGAAAATTTAAATCGTAAAATGTTATCATACTTATGGGAGCAATAAACATATTTCACTTTCAGTTAAAACGTATTAAGTTTTAGGTGTACATTTATATGCTCTTAATGTAAAAACGAGTTCCATGGATGTCCATAATGATTATTACAATTATTCCCATTTTCAATTATTGCACTTGACTTTAACACCATGTAAAATAAATAAATTATGCATGTAGAACGTAGGTTACATGTACAATGGTTAATACCTAGGTATATCAGAGATAAGTTCAATAATGGACACACAAGTTTTAGCGAGGTTGTTCAATGATTTTATTTGATAAAGAATAGTTTTTTCTTTCGAATTTGAATTAAATTATATCTAGTTTTGAATCAAAAAAAAAAAAAAAAAAAAAAAAACATGAAAAATTGAAAAGTCAGTTTTTAAAATTAATCTTAAAACTTATTAGTTTTTATTATAAACTTATTAAAATTAATTTTAATTTCAATTTTGACTAAAAAATATATTTTCCTACATAAGAAGCTTCTTAAAAAAAAAAATGGACTTTTATAGAATTTCAATTTGAAGCTCCACTAAGTTCTCAAACATCAGGATCATCCAATCATTCCGATCCATATAATAATACTTCTAATTTCCAAATCAATCTTATTGACTACTAACAATTTATTGGACATATAATTCAAAGTTAAAACCATAAATAATACCACTTTTTTTTTACTATAGACTACATTCTAAAATACAACACTAAAAATACACATTCTCGTACTCAAACCTTTTACTAAAACTATTTAGAGCAATTCAACTTAGAACCTAAGATCTACACATACTACTTAGCAACTAACAATCTATTCCAATCTATACATAATATATATAATAATTCACAAAAACTTATATTTAGTTGGCTCTACTGTGAACTAGTATTTCATCATTTATTATGGCATATGCTTATTAATGTTATATGTAAACATATTATAGTTTATATAGTGAAGAACATATTAAACAAATAATTCAAAAACTGATATTGTATTTTATACCTATCTATGTGTAAATCTAATCAACTTTAAAATATTTAATAAACATAAATACATGTAATGTATACTGAAAATTAAATTTCGTTTGATTCAATTTTGTTTATGTCCATAAAAATATTTAAAAACTCAAAAAGAAAATATTATATTTATAAAATTATGAAGTACAACAAAATAAGTTTAGCTAGGTGGTATAAAATATAAACACTTAAACCGACCTTATAGATTTTCAGCTTAAAATTATACATTAAACATACTATATATTTTAGTAGTATACTTTTT